GTCTTAAGTCACCTGATTCACGAACCCTTTGTACTACATTCAGCATTTTCGTAAACATTTGCCATTTTTTATTTCGTTTGAGCCACGCAATAAACACCACTATTCACTCACGCGTTACCGGCTGACACATTGACTAAATACAACTGAATAATTACATTGTTACATGGAAACAAGAAAAAGTCGCACGGAGCCAGATCAGGCAAATAAGGTGCGTGAGGCAGCGGAACCATGTCATTTTTAACCAGAAACTGTCGAACAGAGATGGCTGTGGTGGAAGAACCAGTCTGCCACAATTCGGGTCTTTCTCGCCGAACACTGTTTCGCAATCGTCTTAAAACCTCCAAATAGCACAAGCTCTCGAATTTTTTTGAACATTTTAGTCGATTCGGGCACTTGATGGACGGCAGATCGAGGTTTGTCTTCAATCGACATGTCGCCATTTTTAAATCGGGCAAACCACTCGTACACCTAAGTTTTTCCCATAGCATCATATTTGTAAGCTATTTTTAACATTAAAACAGTTTCAGCAGCATGTTTACCAGTTAGAAAGCAAAATGTTACAGCTGCACGTTGCTAACTGAAGCTAATCATCGTAAAAAACGAAACAAGCACAAAACAGCTCTAGCAAAAATAATGACTACAGAGGAAACAAACAAGCCACATTGACAACTCAGGTGGCATTGAACTGGTAATGCGTTGCGCTGTACGCCTCTAGGGGCAGAAATGTGTACTACACAAACTCCGCCCACTGCAATGCTATTTCGGTTATTTTGTGATACCTCCTCGTATAGAGTCAATGCTTCACGACATTTTTGATGGTATACGCATATGTCATTCATTCCCGTCGGTCTGTCTTTTTGTCGTTGTGGCCAATCTAGGATTTCTCAGAGGGTACCGCTAGAAATCTGTTGAAAATTTGACAAAAGGTTATTCCCGTGCTCAGTTTACAAACTTTTGCAGGCTTTAGAATCGGTGCAATGGCTGCGGAGTAATCAAAAAACTAATAATCTCTAATGTCTCGGCTATTATTTAAGCGCTATATTTTATTATGATTTATCGTTAGCAGGAAGCTTGGGCGCTGGACGTCGTTGATACGCTTATGGTGGAACTTTACGAAAAATAGCGGAGATTAAAAATTCCAAATCAAATCCTAACTTCAATTGAGTTTTTCCAAAGTTGTAAGCGAGGGGCTGAAAAAGTATATCCGCATTCGCTATAAAAAAGTTCTTTAAAATATATGCGAAATGCAGGAAAAAAGTTTCTGATTTATTATATTCTGGAAGTTGTAACCATATAGCTATTATACAAGTACAAAAAAGTCCGTGGAGTGCCAGTCACCTTTGGAAAATAGGTTTCAGTTGAATTATGCAACTATGCAACAGTAGCTTATTCATATTTTTTTGATCATTCTGGAATTCCGTGAAGCTCAGACATTGTCTATGTCTTCCAATAAATTCTGCATTGGACGTAGCAGTTATGGTTCACATTGGTCGGCATTGGACAACCTTTTTTTGAGGTTGTCATGTTCAGCGATGTCAAAGTGTAATTCTATGTAGGTACACCACACTACACCACAATTCGACAACACGGCCCATCAAAGCGGGTGTCCCTCAGGGTTCGGTTCTTGGACTAGTCCTTTATTCACTTTTTATTCATGACGTCCCCTGCCCCAGCAACTGTGAAATCTATCTCTATGCTGATGACACTGCCGTGGTGGCCCAGTCGTGTTATGGGAATCTAGTTCACGACAGGCTGCAAAGTGCAGTGGACGAGATATTGGAATGGGCGAATCGGTAGCTGATCAAAATTAATCATTCGAAACCCCAGGCAATCTATTGCGCTACAAAACGTAGCGGCACCCCGTCTAAGGTTTATACAAGATGGTTATTAGACCAGCGATCACTTACGCAAGTGCGGCTTGGTGGTTTCTCGCCAAAACGCATTTGCGTAGCCTGCAGGTTTTGCAGAACAGAACCTTGCGTACAATCACTAACGCCCCATGGTATGTTTCCAACGAGACCCTACACAGAGACCTTGACATCCCTTACCTAATAATAATAAAAATAATAATTTATTTGTCCTGTATGATCACAGATGTGATATAGGATAAGTCAGTCAGAGCACTACACAAGCTAATAACAAATCATGTTAGTGTGGACGCACACAATCATATTCGTAACACATATGGCATATTCCAAATATGACTACAGGTAAATCAAATTAGCCTATAGATATAATTTATAAATATAAAACATATATGTATATATTAGGATCAAACACTGATTTCGGCCAATGGTCGAAAAAAACGACCAGAACGCGTTCTGGCCACCAGCATATTGCCAATGTCTGAAAAATCGCTTTCTGGCCGTTTAGTATAGATCAAAATGAGTTCTGGCTATCCTCATATTGCCAGAACGCGTCGAGCATACAAACAAAATGTCCAAAGGCCAATTTAATATAAAAAAATATATTTGATTGCTTATATAACAAGTTTCAAAATAAAAAATAAATAAATAACTTCAGTTTTAACAGAAACAGAAAACATTTACTATATAATAACTTGTGCTTCAGGGGTATCGGCATACCTACATGTACTTATTTTATATATATATCCCTAAAAATTTAGTCGCATCCACTTGTTTTATTGATTTGCCAAACGATTTTATTAATTATTGCTGAACCACTTACCTGCACCAGTCAAGCTTGAATTGGCAAGTCCTACAACAGATTTTAGGTTTTTACCATCAACAAGTAAAGAAGTGTCATCAGCATACGAGCAATCGGAGCGGAAGTCATTGACATACATTATGTATAAGAGAGGACCAAGTATGGAACCCTGTGGAACATCAGTATGGTAGAAATGTTGGCTGGACTGTGCATTTTGTACCTCGACAGGGACTACATCAAACAACAAGCGCAGCCACGTTATAGTCAAGCGGAATCGCATAGCAACTCTTTGTTGCGCGAGTCAGTAGACTACACAGTCGAGCAAGTTCGCAAGCACACAAGGCCGCGACTCGCACTGTGAACAAAATTAAATCGTGCGACTTTAGGTCCAATCAAAATTATAAGTTTTATTCAACAACGAATCGCAAAATTAATTTTAGGATAAATTTAAAATTGCCGAATACTAATTAGCAATGCCAAGGCACCCCTCAAATTGACGCACTTCTTTTTTCTTTGCTCTCCCTCCTTCCTTCTTTTCTCCTTCCCTTCTTTCTCCCTGACTTTGTTTGGTATCCAGATCTGACAGACCTACTGACTTACAAGACTTTAACCAAGGGCAAAGGTTCTACGGACCGCTCAGACAGACAATGACGAATAGAAAACTACACTACAATTTCAATAAGATTCTAGATTGTAACAATATCTTAAGTATCTTGAAAAATGAAGTAATTTAAGGCAGAGTTATATGTTGAGAAACTGTTAATGGTGTCCGTTGAGGTTTTCTAGGTTCCTATCACCTAAAAAAAAAATATAAGAAAAATCGAAAAATGAAAAAAATAGTGCTTTGGAGGATATTCAACAACTTTTACTACCAGTTTTGTAGTAGGTAAGCTAGTTTAGATCATAATGTAATCCATTGTAAATGTCAATCTGATTATACTTGGATACAGCGTAATGTGTAACTTCGCTTTTCTCCTGTCAGCACCGCGAAACTTGTTAAAATATTGTTTAAACCTATACCTTCAATAACAAGAATACTGCAGAAGTACTGCTCACATGTTTGGGGTGCTGCCGCCCCGACTATAGTATCCATGCTCGACGCTGTTCAGGGAAGAGCTGTCCGACTGATTGATGACTCTTCTCCAACAATCTAGCTCTCTTCTACCGCTACACCAACGGGCTTTGCTCCTCAGGGCTCTCCTCCGTGATGCCGCGGCGAGAGGCAGACCCGCCTGACATCCAGAACTGGCCGAGGTTACCGAGATTGTGGAAGCTTTTCCCAGTACTACCAATCTTAGGCAGTTCACAAATCGGATTAACAAAATTTCCTTGGGATCCTCATAGCAGCCGCGCTGCCCTGGTATTCAGGCGCGACTGCTTCGGTCTAAAAAAAAAACATGCTTAGCCATTGGGTGGGCACCCTGTATACAGGCCTCTAATAAATTAGACAAATGGAGCATCCACAGAGCGTGAAATCACAAGCAAAGACCTGCCCTTGAATCGGCTACCAATTCCAAGGGTTTGCAGATGCAATCCCGATAAACAAAAAAATGTAATTTGGGCGAAGGCTAATCTGCATAATAGCATAACAGAAAACGTTGCTGGCGGAGGCGCAAGTAACAGCGGCCGTGTAGACATAAACTGTATCTTGGAGGTTGGACGGAAATACATAATGGCGCGGCAAGAAATATGTCCCGAGACGGAGGAACATTAGTCAGCAATGGGGTTCTGCTTGCTGAGGACTCAGCGTAAGTAACGGAAGGAAGTCGAGGTGCTAGACGATCCTCGTTTGTTCTCGTTTGCCACGTTGCTTCTACCATTAATCTGCTAATTTAATCTGATAAAGTATGTGCATATACGATGTACATATTTCCTGAAGCAAACAAGAACCAAAATAGGAAAAATGAATTCACGTCATGCGAGCTTAGGATTTTTTTCACAGAAAGGACAGAGGAAATTTTTTGTATACTGTTGACGAGTATCAGCCCCCAAAAGTATTTTTAATAGGTTATTATATTGCCCGAAAACATCGTTCTTACTGTCCACAGTCTAATTTATCAGGAAACCAAATAAGTTCATGCGGTTGCTGTATATCGCACATTGCAATGGATGTTGTTGATCAATAGCGATTGTTTGTTACCTGTTGTCACTTTAGTATGAATCCTTCGACGAATTAAACAGTATTTCGAAGTTGTTAACTGTATGAGTACAAGCTTGCTACAAAAGCTGCAGCGGCGGCGCGAAAAATATGTACCGCATTCGGAGATGTGATCGAACAACACAGAAGTGATTCAAAAAATTTTCTTCGGGAGATCTCAGTTTGAGCGATTAACCGCGCTCAGAGAGACCAAAAATCATGAACAACGAGGATCTTCGACAGGTTGTGGACGCAAATTCCAGGACAACCTGCCAAGAACTTGCAGTAATGTTCAGAGTGAGTCCTGAAACTATTAGTTTGCATCTTCATCAGCTAGGAAAGACGTGGAAGTTAAGCAAATGAGTCCCACATGAACTGTCAAATGATAACAAATTAAGTCGTCTTACCATTTGTTCAGCAAACATTTCACTCAACGCTAATGAACCATTTCTTAATCGGTTATTAACCTGCGACGAAAAATGGATCTTGTGTTCGAATTCTAAGCGTTCGTGGACAGCAACTGGAATTGTCCATTATGAGTTTTTGGAAAGAGGTAAAACCACCAGTGCTAACTTGTATTGTGACAAGGTTCAACGAGTACAAGCAGCACTCATCCAGAAACAGCCTTCTTTGATGAATCGGAAGAAAGTGATATTCTTACAGGATAACACCAAGCCTCATACCGCAAAAGTGACCCAAGAAAAAATTTCTGAACTCGTCTGGGAAACGTTACCGCACCCGCCATATTCTCCCGACATTTCTCCCAGTGATTATCACATTGATTTTGTCTCTTGATAACTGTATGAGACACCGACAGTTCACAACTCGAGATGGTGTAATAAACGCAGTCCGCCAATTTTTTTACTCCAAATCCAGGGAGTTCTACAATACCGGCATACAAAAATTGGTTTCTCGTTGGAAAAAGGTCATTGAATGTGATGGAAATTACTTCGACAAATAGTGTCTTATTGTTTCTCAAAAAAAAAATTTATTTTTCTACTAAAAGCCGCACGATCTTATTTGGTTACCTGATATAATGTCACTAATTTATGACATATTTATAACCATGTCGACTGAACTATGTTAACGCGTTGCTCACTGCTCGTCCACTGTCGACTACTCTACTGTGCCTGACTGCCTCCGCAATGTGGTCGGGTATGTCTTCCCCTATCGATCAGTCTAGAAACATTCCAGCGTTTTCGTGAAATTCCATGGAAGTGGTCTAGATCGCGGCAGGTGCTTCCAGACGGGTATCGAACATTCTTGAAGCCTGCGAGCTTGCAAAAACAGCTTATAATAAAGAAAGTAACGGTATCAAGTTGTTGAACTTGATACGAAAGTTGTGTCGGAATATGCTATCGAGTATTTATGGTATAACCAGTCCGGCAACAAAATCTGGCGGAGAATTATGGATAATATCCCGGGACGATTGTAAAGGGGCAAAAAATTGGAGAAAAGCCCCGCTTTGATTTTTTATTATAAAAGTAAGCATGAATATTTTAGATATTTCATGTATATATTTTGTAGTATATAGATATTTTTTGCTACCCCCTGATTACAAAAAAGGGGTAGGGTTGCTAGCATTAACGTCACTGCGACGCAAATGGATCTATTGTGATCCCCATAAATATACACAGATTAAAGCACTGTGTCCAGCCTTGACCCTTGCATGTAGCTTTCCGCTATTCTGTTTATGGTTCCTACTATACGAAGCCGAGGCAAGTCAAACAAGTAATACATTTTAAATGAAAATATTTTGAATTTTTATTTTTTTTTTGTAAGTCATTGAAAAAATATTGCTTAAAATCCGTTCTAATGTTCAGCATGGTTGAACAGTTTCGTGGTATTCGAACAAAATTTTTTTATTTTGATTCGAAACATTTCTATACTGTGTGAGAATCTGCAGTCATGAATATAAGATAAGACTAACTTATTTTTGCGTTTTTGGCTGTCAGATGGAGAGATATTTAAACATTTTTTGTTCGATTCCAGTGTTCGAAAATTGTTTTGTAGAATTCCGTTAGCAATAATACCTATATCTATATCTATTTTTCACTAAAAAAAAATGCCGTCAAGTAGGTAGACTCTGCGCTTCCTATGCATCGCTGTCATCACTTCATAAATGATAATGTATGCACAAGTTAGCTCCGCCGTGAAAAAACCTATGAATATCTCAATCCAATCACTACGTGAATGAACTTGATCATTCCGACGTCCACATATTTTTACAAACCCCTTCACACCTAAATATCAGTCCTCGAAGTACCACTGCACCTCTTCTCAACGATTTTTTCACGAAGAATCAGGCGACGCTGCACGGCGGTCACCCATTGCAGATACGTATACATGCGCTTTAAAAATATTTCCTAAGGGAAAATAGTATGTCTTAATAGGTGCGTAGAATTACTAGGGATTGCAACGCATGGATGTAAAGGGTGGGTCATCTGTTGGTTTCTTCTTTAAATTGGTACTAAACCAAACTCTTCAATAATATGTAACACTCGATACTTTATTCAAAAGAATACACATTCCTATAGTTTATGTAAAACAGTTTCAGTTAAATGGCTGGCTTGGCAGTACTCCATCCTCTTAACCCAAGTTTGAAGCACAATTTCGACAGTTTGTGGGTCTATTTATCAATAGCTCGACAGACATTTCCCCTAAGAACAATTGTTTGAGGACCGTTAGTGTAACAGCGGTAGGAAGTAATCCATGGCCGACAAATCACAGCTGCGGGCTGATCGATTGTTTCACGGCTGGTGTGGCATGTTGCTCCGGAACCAGCAAGAGCATGTCGTCTAATAGCAACCATAAAAAACTCCTCAACACGTCTCTATAGCGTTCCTTGTTTACCGTCACTCTGTTACCATCTTCATGTTGAAAAAGGTAGGGACCAATAAGCCCACCACTCCAAAAGCCACACCAAACAGTTACTCATTTAGATGCATTGGTTTTTGTATGACATGTGGGTTTTCAGAACTCCAAATCCTACAGTTCTGCTTGTTAACGTAACCTCCCAGATGGAAATGGGCTTCGTCCGAAAAGATGATTTGGCCAATAAAATTGACGTCCGTTTCCAATTGATTTAGAGCCCACACAGATATCGAAGCGGATGGTGTTTCAGCTCTTGCACTAGTTGCATCTTGTAAGCAAATAATCTCAGGTCGTTATGCAATATTCTCTGCAGAGAAGTGCGACTGATGCCCATTTGCTGTGCTCTGTGACGAGTTGACATTCTTGCGTTTTCACGCACACTTTGAGCAACAGCAGCAATGCTTGCGGCTGTACGTACGGGTCGAACACGCTCATACCTTCTGTTATCCACGACCAGGCCAGTTTCACTAACCTTAATCACGGATTTTCGTATACCAGTCGCGGGCGGAGCTTCATTCCGACCAAATAGTCTTCTCAATTTTTCAAAGTTTCTGGCACACAGCACTCACTTTGAAAATAGTTTTTAATATTTCCTGCCTCCGTTCAAGATTAAAACGATCCATTGCTCACAGCGGAAGTTTGACACAATATATCTGTCAATATGTTGAGCATGGAAGTGTTACCAACTGTCAAAATAATAGGAACTTAAAAAGAAACAACTGAAACGTCAAATATTTGAGCGATTTTTATTGTTTTCGTAGTTTGCCCATAGCTCCACCGCCAATGGAACGATTTTCAAAAACTACAAACTACAGCTTCTTCGTCTTTTGTATAGTTGTAACTTTGAGTATGCTGCCTCACCAGTAAGCTTGACAGTGAAATAGATGTACGAATTGTTTTCCTGGTAAGACTGGTATTCCTGTGGAGTATCCATATTGACTCTATTTCGCCGTATATTTTGTCCTCTTACAATTTCCCTAAACGATTGTGCTATAGATTTTAGATTAAGTGACAAATGGGGGTTTCTACTTCAAAAACAGTAATAAAGCTATCCAGTAGTTTATTGTACGTTGTAGATGAACACTGTTAATATTCCCACGTTAACATCCCGATCAGTAAAAATATCCGTTTGTTGTTTGAAAAATTTCAACGAACGAATATACTGGGTCATTATCATCGTCAAAATATGGAAGTATTGAAACCCGGTACATCAGCTGGTCTATAAATAGAGCAAGATTCTATGAATCTATTTCCATATTCCAATTTTTAGTGGTAGTAATATGCGCTTGTATTGTTCTATAAAAAATATATATTTCAAATATTTCCATAAAAAATATCCATAGAGCTATAAACTTTTGTTGACGTGCATATATAATAAAAATAACAAATAGTGAATTGTTCAATACGACCAGGCACTGTATTTAGTCAGGGAGTCAGTTCCAACAAAGTTAAT